GGACATTTACAGTGTGATTTGGGGGTTCCGTGAAGAGGTTAGGGGGCCCGTGGGGGGTCGGAGGGGGGGTAGGGGTTCCGTGGATCATTATGGCCAAAAAGTCGCATTTTGTCCAAACACAAAAAACTCATCGGATATCGACGCAGCTCGACGCCGCCGTCACGGCCAAAGCAGTTTCACCTTCCAAATCGTTTTTGTTCGAAAGTTATCGCTAAAAAACAAAATGGACAAATTGTCCTCGACTGACCATAGCTATGGGCAAGCCCTTCAATTCAAGGCGCACAGCAAGCTCTACCTCTCANAATCATTTTTGTGTGTTTGTGTCGTGGTGTTCGCTTTTGTAAATCGTGTCCTGTGAGGCGAGGGTTACCCGTTCAGAGCGTGTTTGGGCTCTTACCGGACATTTACAGTGTGATTTGGGGGTTCCGTGAAGAGGTTAGGGGGCCCGTGGGGGGTCGGAGGGGGGGTAGGGGTTCCGTGGATCATTATGGCCAAAAAGTCGCATTTTGTCCAAACACAAAAAACTCATCGGATATCGACGCAGCTCGAGGCCGCCGTCACGGCCAAAGCAGGTTCACCTTCCAAATCGTTTTTGTTCGAAAGTTATCGCTAAAAAACAAAATGGACAAATTGTCCTCGACTGACCATAGCTATGGGCAAGCCCTTCAATTCAAGGCGCACAGCAAGCTCTACCTCTCAGCAGTAGACAAGCTACGTCGTATCGCACGATCTCGCTCTCAATCAGATACTTCGCTCTCGATCGTGCGAATATGTTGTTATACATAGGATATGACCACAGGTACATAAGACACCTAGATGCATACATATCAATTGCGCAGCAGTCGAGGCACATGTGAGACAGCTACTACTGTAGGAAGTGGCCAACGGTTGGACACAGATATGACACACAGACTGGTGAAAGTTTTGCACGCAGACATGACACGCCGCCTGCTGTATGTAGACTATGCATATGAGAGACATGCCATGGGCCATGTAGACGGTTTTGAATTTAAATTTTTTGCATGTTGCATGCATAGTCTACAGCAGCCGTGTGTATGTATGTTTTTCAGGGGAAACATGACACAATATACATCATTTTGCGTGCTGTATGTTCCGACATGTGCAATTATACAGAAGTAGAGATAAACAGCGGCGTGTAATAGCCAACAATTGTAAAAGTGAGGCAGCTGACAATCACATCGGCGTGTGTGTACAGCAGTGACAAACACGAAACAAATCCACCGACAATGCGAGCATAGCGGCGTATGCCATAGGCAGAGTCTGCTACGGGCAAGACATCATCAGAGTGTCTTGCAGTTTTTTTTTTTTTTTCATGAGTCGCAAGCATAGCGGCGTATGCTGTAGGCAGGGTCTGCTGCGGACAAGACATCAGCGTGTCTTACAGGGAGTTCGTCATGAGGCAACGAACTGCTTGTGCAATGATGGCTAAACAACGGAGTGTAATAGCCAACAATTGTAACGGATGCTATTGGCAGAGTTTGCTGCGGGCGAAACATCAGCGTGTCTTGCAGGGAGTTCGTCATGAGGCAACGAACTGCTTGTGCAATGATAGCTATACAACGGCGCGTAACAGCCAACAAATTGTAACGGTGAGGCAGCTTGACAATTCCTCGGCGAGTGTGTACAGCAGTGACAAACACGAAACAAATCTACCGACTGTGCGATTATACAAGCGACGTATGCTATAGGCAGAGTCTGCCGGGGGATTTCGTCATGAGGCTATTGCTGGTGAAACATTTTAGCCATACAACAGCGTGTAACAGCCAACATGGTAGCGGTGAGGCAACTGACAACACAGCGGCGTGTGTATGCAGCAGCGAACACCAAACAAATCTACCAATGATGGTAGCGTGTCGTGCAGGGATTTCGTCATGAGGCAACTGCTTGTGCAATGATAGCCATATAATGGCGTGTAATAGCCAACAATGGTAGCGGTGAGGCAGCTGACAATCACAGCGGCGTGTGTACAGCAGTGACAAACACCAAGCAAATCTACCGAGGGAGCTTCGGTTGGTTGATGTGGACACGCCATGAGGCTGACATATTATTACGTAGGCTATGAGGCAGTGGCGGCACTGCTATACGGCTGCATGACATGGTCCCCACGCCGCGACCACTACCGGCTGCTGCAGACGACACACCACCGTCTGCCTCTGCGAGTTATCGGCTACCGGCGCAAACGAGGCACCTACCGGCAGCTGTCATACGCCCAGGCGCTGAAGAGGGTCGGCTGCCAGAGCGTGGAGGCCACTGTCCGTCAACGGTGCCTGCTCTTTGCGGGGGCCATGGCAAGACAGCCAGACGGGCGGCTTCCGAAACGGCTGATGTTCGGCGAGTTGGTGGGAGGGGAGAACCCGGGCCGGGGAAGCCCGGAGCAGAACTGGCTGATATGCCTGAAGGACGACCTGAAGATGTTCGAAGCCAGACACGGCTCCACGCCCGACAAGCGGAGCTTCTTCGGAATCCCGAAGCCAGACTGGGACGAGGCGGCGAAGGTGGAGGGGGGGGTACCGTGGCACGCGGGGGTGCTACAGGGAGCTGAGAGGTTTATGGCCTCTTGGCACAAGGGCGAGGAGAAGGCCAGCCGACAACGAGCCATCAAACGAGGAGACAGCGGGCCCAAAAAGAGTCTAGATACGGCACCCATCTACGGGGCGGGAGGGGGGCGGGAGGAAACGGCGCGGGAAGAAAGCAAGCGAGAAGAGACCGACCGCGTGACGTGACATGTTGCGGTTGAATTTCAGCGACTAGTTTTTCTGTTGCCCTCTCCCCCGTTTGCTGTCGCGAACTCTACGGATATCCCTGTCTCTGTGCGAGTTTGTTTATGTCCTCGTCTGTCTTTTGATTTATTTCGTCTTTGTTTTGTTTTTTTCAGTGCTGCACGACTGAAAAAAATAAAAAGTATGTGAGAAACAACGCTTCCAACGGGAAAGCAGCCCCCTGTGGAAACCCCTCCGATCAGGCGGCTCGCGGCGCAACAGACCTCCACACCCAGCACGGGCTCTAGAGGGCGAACCAGAGGCTAAACTGCCCAGACAACTCGAGAGGTATGTTAACACGATGCAAGGGCACATCAGGGTATGTTTTATACGCCCAGGTACACATGGTAGGGTGAGAAATTCAGACTCTTAGCTAGAGCATACCACACAGCGGCAGCACCAAAATCCACGAGGAAGCATCACACGCGAGCCGACCTCTGCGCAAGCTTGGCGTGTTGCAGCCCAATTATGCTGCCGACGTATACCTAGGTCTCATTGCCACCTAATGCAAAAGGTTTGAGGCGATTTAGTGCGTTAGAAAATGAGCATGGTGTGTTCAAAATTCAAATTTCAGGAGAGTCTACGTCGGGGGGTTCGAACGCACGCTCTCGCATGTTGCGCATGTTTAGTCCACTGGATACACGACCCCCATCCAAAGAAAAAATGGAAATGCTCGATACAGTCCGGCCGCCACAAAAATTTATAGGAAATATGGACGTCGAAAGAGCAAGTACGTCTGTCTTGAAGTTAAAATTTAGCTCGGTGCTTGCCATGGTGCGAGTGAAACATGACCCGGGGCGCTCAGCTACGCGTACTCCAGACCGTTCATCAGCAGTAGATTGGAACGGCGCAGATATGTCGAGTCGGGCATATAGTCTATAGTGCGTAGATCGACAGCTTTCAGTCCGTCACGCTCTGAGGTACATAAGCATACCCAAACAGAGGATCATATGTTATGCATGGCTGTCAAGAGACAACGATAGAACCACACACATAGCATAGGTGTGCGCCTGCGTAGGCTGTACGTGTCACGTGACCTTTTGTAATTTTTGGTTGTATACCATGGCCAGGTATTTAATGCATGGGATAACGGCCGGCACAGGTCGTGCTGACAGATGACCCGTCGGAGAGGTAGGGGGGGCAACCGGGCTGGTGGGGCTAACAACCCCAGAGGTCAACCGGCTACGCCACCTGCTACACCTCCAAACCAGCCTAGGAGCTCTGTTACACCCAGAAGCGGGGGTATGCAGCCAGCATGGGACCTTCGTCAGCTTACGGAAGGCCCGCTAACCCCGCGTACTCCAGTGGTCGACAACTCAGGGGGAGACATAACAAGTGAACGTCCACGGATCAGGAGCGGGAGAGAGGGCAACTTAACCACTGAGGTGCGCACCCCCACCGCCGCGACAAAGCGCGACGCGAGAGATTCCGGTGCACGCGTCCGTCGGACGGGAGGAAAATCCCGGTCGGGCAGGAAACGCAGGAAGAGGCCCTCTGTTGGTGTCACGGGTGGTGGACTACCCAATCTTGAGAGCAAGCTCGAGGAGGAGGATTACTACAGACAGCAGGGCGAGGCGAGGAGGGAGGCATCGGCCCGTAAAGCTCGCGCGATTGCCGAAGACGAACGGCAAAAAGCAGAGTCCGCGGGGAATCACCCCGTTGATCCTCGGCGTAGGAGTCACGGCGGGAACCCAAGACAAGCTGGTTATCAGCCTGGAAAGCGGAATGCGGGTAGGAGACTTTCTGCCCCAGCGGTGCTATCTGTACGCCAACCAACAAGCAAGAAGCGAAGAAAGGCGTGCGAGCGTATGGAATGCGGGTGGGTTGCAGACCACCCTGGCACCGAGTGTAGCAAATGCCCCGGGAGTGTCGTACACTCCCACGACGATAAGCTATGTTCGGCATGCCACAGGTCTCATAATGACGACGGTTTCAGGCATCTCCGCGCGGACCGGTTAGGGCGAGCAGTAGACTTCGTGGCCGCGTGGACACCAGGAGAGAAAACCCTCCCTCCAGCTCTCGTGCGAGACTTCAGGCCCAGCAATGACTGCCTCTGCGCACGCCCAGACTGCTTCCTAGCTTTTTTCGCCGAGGAAGGAAGGCAGAGTCTCGCGTTTGCGGTACTTGTGGGTGCCGGAAATCGGGCAGGAGCATCGTAAGGTGGTACCCCATGGATGCTGCAGATGACGATGTGGCGGAGGGGAACGCAACGGTGAGCGATGGCCTTTGGTGGTGCGGCCGCTGCTATCAGAAACGGTTGGACGGCATAAAGAGAGACGAGAAACAGCCAGAGCACACAGCGAACAATACGCATGGATCGGGGGGTGAGGCGCCGGTGCCTCCAGATCCGTTGGACACGGTGCGCGCTATGGTGGAAGATGTCGTCCGTCGAGGTGAGATCCTGTACTGGCAGGACGTCGCCGCGTGGGTAACAGCGGAACGCGCGAAGCTTGGCATGGAAGAGTTACAAGGGAGATACCCAAGAAAAATCGTCCGGGACATATTTGCAAATGGGTCAGAGAGCACTCGGCACGAAACTCAAGGGCGCGACGAAGAAAAATGTTTTCTCCATCCCGGCTAGGAACAGCATCAACAAGGCCACGAAGAGTCAAGGGAGGTCGTCTGCACTCAAGGATTCCGTCGGTAATGCCTACGCTGGGGGGCAAGAGTGGAAGGCCCTCACGCTGAACATGATCGATGCGGCCAGAGAAGGTGGGGGTGTGGTGACGCAAGACCAGATGCTGGAAATGGTAGCTTCCGTAGGAGCGGCCACGCCGTACAGCATGGCCAACGCGACAGGAGGTGAGGAAGAGAGCGTGCGCAATACAGGTTGTCATCTCGTGCTCTCGCTCCCAGCCGAAGCTCACCCACTCTCCACACCCGTGTTTCTGAGTGCTATTATCATAATGCATACCGCATCACATTGTGTTCACCCCCCCATCCCCAAACACCCCTGTTGGTAATCTCTCCCCAAACGTATCAGGAGCTAAGCACGCCAACAAGGCGGCAGGTCCAGGGAAATGGGTCAGAGAGCACTGTGCCGACGGGTTCGCAGACGACCCGTTTTACGACGCCGACGCTCATGGCGTGGATCTTCCCGTGTCAATCCACCAAGGGGTGCACCCGGAATATCTCGAGAAGGGAACTGCGGGAGTAATCGACTACTTCAAGAGGCAGCTGTTGTCGAAGTGGCTGCAGCCAACCGAGCTACTCATGGTGTGCTACGACCGACAGGAACTGGTCCCGGTAATCAAAGGACAAGAGCAGCTTGGGAGGACCGAGAAACTTGGTGAGTGCTCTCGGACCTTCGACCCGAAGTCAACGGACCCTGTTCCTTCGTTACAGTATGGACCATGGCTTCGAGCCGATGGCAAGGCGGCGCGGGACGGAATCGCCGCCAACCTCGCCATGCGCGTGCTAGCTGATGAAGTCTGGACCGGCGACACCAAGCCGAACGGAATCGTCGCATTCTATGGCGTCGGAGGTGAGCCTGGTCTGAGAGCTGATCATCCATCTGGTGTAGATGCGGAGGGCGTAGGCCTTGAGATGGGAGGGGTAGGTAACTCGGAGGCGCTTTCCGGAACCGTACCACTCCTTCACTTTCGAAACGGAAANGGCGCGGGACGGAATCGCCGCCAACCTCGCCATGCGCGTGCTAGCTGATGAAGTCTGGACCGGCGACACCAAGCCGAACGGAATCGTCGCATTCTATGGCGTCGGAGGTGAGCCTGGTCTGAGAGCTGATCATCCAGCTGGTGTAGATGCGGAGGGCGTAGGCCTTGAGATGGGAGGGGTAGGTGCCACGGAGGCGCTTTCCGGAACCGAACCACTCCTTCACTTTCGAAACGGAAACGATCCGGTACTCGGCGTCGAGCGGCAGCGAGGGCCAGACATCGGCGAGGCGGAGCTCTCCGTGATACACTTCATCGTTTGGGCGAAGAGGTACTGGGGGAAAAACTTCCACAAGTGGATCGTTTCATCGGTAGACACGGACCTATGGATGATCATTCTACTGGCGATGACCACTGGTTGGCTCCGGCCTCGTGGCGAGGGGGCGGTTGACGTGACCGTCCAGAAGGTCGTGGGTGGCGAGACCAAGTTCCTGTGGATGAACAGAGTGTTCGCCAGCATCTGCGAGCTCCAGGACGGAAGCGAGTCCGCGTGGCCGCCATTGACCTTCAGGGGATGGATTCCCACGGACAATGACAAGGTCCGTCTGTTCGTCCTAACGTTCCTGGAGTCGGGCTGTGACTACCTCCCGGCAATTTCCGGGCTGCCGTTCGACAAGATGTGGGTACTGGCCCTCAAGAGCGTGCGGACGGAGGGATTGTTTGACAAGCCGCTGTTCTTCGAGGAGGAGGATGGCACGTGGGCCGTGCATGTCGACGAATGCGCG